CGGGGAGGCGGCGGCGGCGGCGGCCCCCAGCCCTGTCACGGGCAAAAAACCCTGTCAGCGCTGAGCCCTCCCCGGCCTCGGTTCCCCAAAACCTCTCAGCGTGTGGGCTTCAAGAGGACGTGATTAATCCTGGTCGCTAATTGCCGGGCAAGCTCACCCCTCGTGTATATAGATATATATTTATTTATTTTTGTCTATTTTCGATGACTTTCTGAGGTGGGACTGAAGGCACCACGCGACTTAGCCCTCGTCTCAGGTAAAAAAACCAAAAAAACAAACCACACCAGCGAGCGCTGGCTGTCGGATCGCGTGTTCTTGCTTTGTATTGTACGCCATGTAACCGCAGCGATGCAAATACGCTGAAAAACTGGCAGAACGGAACGAAAGCCCTGCTTATCCCCCCCCCAAAAAAAATTTGCTTGGGCTCTTGGAACCGACGCCGGGCTCGCAGCTAGGCGTTACGGAGACGGTCGCGGTCTCGCCGTGCCGTGGTACCCGCGGGTTGGTGGTGGAGCGATGGCATTTCATCCCCCGCGTTCGCCCAGGCGGCTCTTTTCTTGGGTTTGCGTTGCCGTCTTCTGGTTATAACTATAATTCCTTTTTTATATTGCTATGTATGGTTACACTCCCTCCTCTGAGAGTCTGGAAGGAAATTCAGCAAAACATCAGGGGGGAGGGAGGGAGAGAGAAGAAGACGCAGCGGTCGGCGACATTCTGAAGATTGAAATAACCCTCAATTTAAATCTTTTCTCTTTTAGTATCGATGACTGAACCGAGTTACTTTTTGATGGGGCACTGAGACTGCCCGAGACCTAGGCTGCGTTCGGGATCAGTTCATTCCCTTGGGCCGAGCGGTTGCTTGTAATACCGGAGTGTGCCCAGCTGCATCGAGTGGAGGACGTTAATTCACGTCTCCACGCTTTAGACCAGTGGATTAGCATGCTATCTCTGACTGCAGAGAGAGGAACAGCCACACAGAGGCGAAAAATAAGTTGCAAAAGCGATTTCGATCGCGTGCAAATTCAACATGTTCCACGGTAGCGTATGGAAAAAGTTATGGGACAGCAACACCAAGCTCAAGTGCAAAATAATGAGTCCCTTCTTCCCACCTCGCTGAGCTTGGCAAACTTTACCAGGCCAGTGGAAAACAAGCAAACAAATGGCAATAGAAAAACGCTTATAAATCAGGCTAACAGGAAAATAAGGCTGCAGCTTATTCTTTCTGGCAATAATCAACTCTGATGAAGGCCCCCCGCCTCCTTTTTGAAATAGCTAGCTGAGGGTTGTGATGCCTGTGAAGAAGCATTTGCTCAGTGAGGGAACAGCTGTCAGCTGCATGCTGGTTTTTCCTCCCTGGAAACAGGCTTTAGCGCACTGCGATACAGGCGATGCTTTGCAGATATAGTAAACACTTGGGATATTTGTCCTGTATTGTTTGTACCTACATGACACCTATCGTTTTAAATCTGACAGCTAAGATAACTGTCTGTGATTACAGTGGAGCTGCACTGATTTTCTAGGGTGAAGACACGGCTAAGAGACTGACCCTATTGCAGGTGCCTCCCTCCTTGTAAATCTTTAAAAATTAAAATACTCCAGACATGGGTTTTTTTCCTTAGTAGAACCTCTTGTGTTTGCCTGAATGTTGTCCCTACCACAAAAATGAGTTGCTTATAGGAAGCAACGGCATATTGGGACTGCTGGAGCACTAATGAGTACCTTCAATTTTCAGCAGACAGAAGGGTCTACACTGCAACTAACAGCACTGCCTGTGCAGCAGCAGTTCTGCAGGGAAGAGCCTTATCTGATCAAGTGATTAAGGCTGCCATCATAAAAAGCATTTAACAAAAGGAGTCCAAACTGCATGAGGTTGCGCGAGCAGCCTTAATCCTCAAACACCTAAACTTTCTGAATGCCGTAATTCACAGTTTACACATGGTGGTAACACCTTTCTTAGATGGGACGTACACATGCCATGTGTGAACCATGGGTTGGAAGGCATGGCCGTCCCCTGACAGCAGGTGTCCTCTTGCTTTTGGTGAATTAGAGATGTGGTCATTTCCACCACGTCTTGCAGCATCACCTCCTGCCTCAGGGGAATCCAGCAGTCAAATGCCTTGCATGATTAATTGCCCTCGCTTGGGCAATTCTCTGGTGCTAGTACTCAGTCTAGCGGTGTCTTCCCAGGATTGGAGACCGGGATTATCCCCAGCCATCCCTTGAGGCCCATCCTGCCTTCTCTCTTGGCTCTGTTTGTTACTCAAAAGCACACCTTTCCCCTGGAGGCTCGTGCTTTTGGGGGCATTTGGACTAGAAATTAAAGCTTCAGGAATAAGTCATAGTTTATGTAACAGACACTCAGAAAAAAATCTTGTCTCAGAGTCTCTAACTGCATTATTCAGGAGTGGCTGCAGCTCCTGTACTCGGGGCAGGGGGGAAGAGGGTAAAACCCCGCTAGTCATATAAGAGTATGGCCTGACTAATGAAGAGAGGGGTGGGGAAAGGCCAGTGATGCTGGCAGACCATTAGAAACCCCTAACACCGTGTCCTTTGTGCCCGCTCTTCCTTTGGGACCACCTGTGGCAAACAAGTTCCCCCTTCCCACTGCTGTGGCCAGTTAGGCTGGATCCTGCCCAATCCATTTGTTTTTCTGTTTCTGTGTGTGATCTAGCAGGTTTTGTCCATTCGATAGTCCTCTTACAAGAGGCTCAACTTCCTTACTCAGCTCTAGGTTAAGTTATTGCTATTCCCAGTTCACCCCCAAAAGCCAAAGCTGGTTAAGTTCATACTGCCCTGCCTCTTCCCAGATACTTCCTCAGCATATCTGTGCCTCAAGAACAGCTCCTTCAAGTTTAGTGCTCTTGGTTATTTCCATCAAACCAATGTTTATTGAAAAATCACTACATATCCACCAGTGCTGACTAACAGAATGACTCCTGAGATGTTGGTTTTCTTACAATAACCTGAACCAGAACTTGTAATTCATACGCAGTTTTCTCAAACCCTTTCCGCAATCTTTTTCAATACGGTGAATGTATCTACTCTGCCAGTAATTTATCTTGGACTTTCCTTTATTAAACAACAATACAAATTTTAGAAATTGAGAAATTGCCCTGATTTCATTAATAGTGATTCATCCCGTGCCCTAGTTAACTACCTGTGACTCTATATAGAAACATGCTTGCTGTGTTAGTTATTTAGACTAAGATATGGGATAAAATATGCTAGGAATTTCTTGCACGCAGAGCTTTCTCACAATGTGCAAAACTGATTGACGAAGAAAAAAATGTCAAATGCCAATGCATTATCTCCTGTGAGAAAAGTAAAAACTAAGCAATCGCCTTAGAAAAAAAACCAAAACACTACAGAGGAAAAAGAGGTGTGCTAGTTCTGAAAGCTACTAAACAGAGAGACGAACGAGGGTTTTGGAGGCATGGTACTGCTTCGGGTCTTCTGGAGACAGGCAAGAAGATACAAACTCTAAATATGTTATCATCCAAATAAAAACTGCATTAGATCATTAGATCATCTCTTGCTCAGCACTAGTAAATCTTTCTATTTCTGCTGCCACTGAGTTATGTATCTGGTCTTGCTCCAAGGGCAATCGTGCCTCTGCAGCCAGAACTGCTCACAACAGCACTCTTTCTATAAAATTAATCTAATGTAGGAAAAAAGCAATGTCTCCAAGCTCTTTGCCGCAAGCGTAACACACACCAATCTAAAGACTAAGTCCAGCAGTCTTAGACACTAAATCAGCATCAGTTTTGCTTCCATAAGCACTATGGACCCTTCCCAAGGTAGCTTTTTTTTGTGTTAGTTTACATCAGGCAGCTTATGTCTTTTCTCCCAAGACTGCATTTTTTATCTCTCTGGCACTCTTTGCTACCCCAGCATGAATGCAGCGCTGGGAGGTATATCTACCCTGAAAGCCAGATCTGCCAGATGGTGGCACAATGTGCACCAGGAGGTTTTGGAGCAAAACTTTCCACATTTTTTAGAAAGTCCTTGTTACAAAGAGGTTATTTATAGTGTTATTCTAATAAGGAGCCAAAACAGAGCAGCCTTTTATTAGAACTTGCAATAGAGGGCATTACATTGAGGCCTCCCTGTGCACAAATACCATTTACTTACTGTGCAAAAATTGGCCTGGAGAGCTGAAAAATTCAGCTTGTATTAGCAAAGAGCTCATTTAGGTGGGAATGTTTTAAAGAGTTTAAGCAGTACTGGCAGAATTCAATTAATTCCGTGTGTGACAATGTCATTTCATCCTAATTAGTTAAGAACTCAGAAATACGAAAAAAAAAAAAAAGAGAAAACCCTGTCCCCTCATGAGACTTCATCTGAAGAGTTATGATAAAAGTTCCATAAATTTGCCTGTTGGAAAACCGTCATTTAAAACAGCCTTTCCCCAGCCTGAACTCAGACACCTCTGAGTCTAAATAATAATAATAACAACAACAACAATAATAACAACAACAACAATAATAATAATAATAATACCCTTATATTCCAGGGAGCAGGCAATCAGGGCAGGAGAAATCAGCAGAGAAGCTCCTTTTGGCTTGCTCCTCTGCAGTGAAGTTGCTTTCTATACATCCTAACTGAGGCGGCTCCTGCCCAGGAAGCGGGGTTCCATAGGTTACACCTCATCCCCTCCCAGGTAAAAGCTGCAGGAGGGGATGCTTTGCTTCAAACAGCCCAGGGAAAAATTCCTGGAATGGGGGGGAGGGGACACATGGACTTTTCTCTTCCTCCTGGGGACATTGGAGCCCAGGTGAAGGGCAGCCCCCAGCCCCCAGGCTCCGGGAACACTCTCCAAGTCTGGTTTTGGGCTGGAGCATCCCGATGTTGGCAGCAAGAGGAAAAATGGGGCTTTTCCCTGCAGGGTTGGTGGGGGGGGTGACAGAGGGGACGCTGCCCAGGGACCCAGGGTGAGCCTGGAGGATGACACCTTACAGGGAGTCTGGGGGAGCTGGGGTCATCCCTGTCCATCCCTGCCTCTTGCGGTCACTGAATACATATAAACCAGTCTGCAAGAGCTATCAGCCATTAGAGGAATGGGCTGAGCAAGACGTACGCGCAAATGAGTGGAAAACATTTGTGGGACTGCAAGAGTCAGGCTTGTCTGTATTTAAGCAGAAACAAGGTAAAGGCGTCCCGGGCAGTAGGATGGGTTACACGGCACCGAAGGGAAATGACGGCACAAATTCGGGCGTTTGTCTCAAGCTTCCCTCGTTGCATGTCATTATCTAAAGGCACGTCCGTATTCATCATCTGCGCTTACTTGGACAGCAGAGTCAGGCAGGTGCACAAGTGGCTTCCCCGACTTTAAAATA